AAAAAAAAAAAAAAAAATGGGGCTCTTATGACCAGGTCTAGATGACTTCTCCTGTCCTCTGACCATGAGGCTCAGGCCTGGACATGGACCTGGGATCTGTGCTGGAGAAGTAGAGTAAGTGGCCCAGAGCTTTGATACATAGCTTTACTTAGGTGGCTCTTTTTTTTTTTTTTTTAAAACAGAAAGACTGGTCTACTGCTGGTTGGACCAAAGGAAAATCCAGAATTAAAAACAATTCAGGCCACTCTATCTAGGCAGAGGATAGAACATCAGTGTCTTTCATCTGAGGAACTGAAGCAACATTTCCCAAATATTCGGTTGCCCCAGGGAGAAGTGGGGCTCTTGGAAAAGTCTGGAGGAGTTCTCTATGCAGACAGGGCCCTCCGAACCCTCCAGGTGAGATCACACAGCACTGGGGCAACACTGCTCCCTGCTCTGGGCATCCTGGGTTCTAAACAGCCAGCCCCTGTGTCCCTCTGGATGAGGGTCTTTGCCCTGCTGCCTTTAGGCTTGACCTCTTGGGCAGGGCGGTGTTATATATCCTGCTAGCCTTGTTGATATGGGAGGGGGGTCTAGATTCTGCACTCTTTTTCCTGCCCTAAGCTAAGGGCTCTTTTTGCACCATGGTCAACCACATTCACAGCCAATTCGCCTTTCCCTGCTCCTGCCCTCTCAGGATGCAGTTCGACAGCTGGGAGGTACAGTGCGGGATGGAGAAAAGGTGATGGAGATAAAACCGGGGCTGCCAGTCGTGGTGAAAACCAGCTGTGGGAGCTACCAAGCCAAGAGCTTGATCATCACAGCAGGTCCTTGGACCAACTGTCTCCTCCGTCCCCTGGGAATCGAGCTACCTCTCCAGGTAAGAGGAACTGGAAGCTCGAGAGTTGGTGCTTAAGAGAAGCAGCTGTGGAGCCAGTTGGAGTCAAGTTTGAGTTCAGGATCTGCCACTTGCAAGTGGACAACCTTTGGCAAATTAGTTTAACTCACAGAGCCTCAGTTTTATCACCTGTGACATGGGGGAGTAATAGCTATCTCCTAGCACTGTTGGAGAATTAAATTATATAACATGTTTTAGTCCTCGGGTGACAGCCTGACTTATAGTAAGCACCCAGGATATATGTGATATTTTGAATTCCCAGAAAGAGGAATAGGGGTGAGGTGCAGCTGTGTGAGGAAACTGAGAATGAGGAAGAATCAGAGGTTTGGAGATTCTCTTTCTTTTTTCTGAGACAGAGTCTCATTATGTAGCCTCTGTAGAGTGCTATGAAGTCACAGCTCACAGCAACCTCAAACTCTTGGGCTTAAGTGATTCTTTTGCCTCAGCCTCCCAAGTAGTTGGAACTACAGGCACCACAATGCCTGGCTATTTTTTGGTTGTAGTTGTCATTGCTGTTTGGCAGGCCTGGGCTGGGTTTGAACCCACCAGCCCCAGTGTATGTGGCTGGCGCCCTAACTGCTGAGCTATAGGTGCTGAGCCAGAGATTCTTTTTTTTTTTTTTTTTTTTTTGAGACAGAGCCTCAAGCTGTCCCCCTGGGTAGAGTGCCATGGCATCATGCTCACAGCAACCTCCAACTCCTGGGCTCAAGCTAGTCTCCTGCCTCAGCCTCCCAAGTAGCCGGGGACCACAGGCGCCTGCCAAAATGCCCAGCTATTTTTGGTTGCAGCCGTCATTGTTGTTCGGCGGGTCCAGGCTGGGGATTCGAACCCGCCACCTTAGGTGTACATGGCTGGCGCCTTAGCTGGTTGAGCCACAGGCGCCGAGCCCAGAGATTCTTGTATGTTGTAACATATGTAACAGGTAAATGACTGGAGAAGTGGGTGAAGCCAAATAGATGGGTTCAGCTGGGCATGCAGGCTTGTGTTAAAGGGCTGCAGAGCCCCAGAAGAAGCTGCTGTCAGTGCTACAGAGTTCCTTGGCTTTCCCCCTTCACCTCCCACTTCTCCCTGCCTTAAGACCCTGAGGATCAATGTGTGTTACTGGCGAGAGAAGTCTCCTGGGAGTTATGGTGTAGTCCCAGCCTTTCCATGTTTCCTGGGCTTGGGCCAAGCCCCCCACCATATCTATGGGCTGCCAGAAGGAGAGTACCCCGGGCTTGTGAAGGTGAGCGGAAAGGCCAAGAGAAGGTCAGTAGGTGCCTGTGCAGATTTGGGGCAGCTGCTTTAACTTTCCCCTCTGCAGACTCCCTCCAGTACCAGAGGCAGCAACAGAGCCTGCTTTGCTGCTATTTGCAGAGAAAGACCCTCAGCTGCCATATTGGGTGGGTGCTGGGACTGAGCACCTAGCAGCACCTGCCAGGGTGGGGGAAGCTGGAATGATGGATGGGGTCATCCTATGTACAAGCCTGCCCCTTGGTCATGCGTGGAGGGCAGTGCCCTTGCCGCTCATATCACATTGCTCTGATTGGGAGCCAGGTCTGCTATCACCACGGCAACCACACAGACCCTGATGAGCGGGACTGTCCCACAGCACGCCCAGATATTCAAGATGTCCAAATCCTGTGCCGCTTTGTCAAAGATCACTTACCTGGCCTGAAGCCAGAGCCTGCCATCATGGAGCGCTGCATGTACACGGTAAGGGGTCTGGGCAGCCCCACCAGGCCCTCTCACAGCTCTGAGAATGGGCAAGGAGACAGACAGACCTTGCTGGCCAGGCCCAACTCTATTTGACCCCTGACATAGTCTGGGACTTCAAAAAAATGAGCGAATAATTTCTGTGGGTTGGTTTGTCACTACCAGAGAGGACCCTGGTAGGGATTATTCATATGCTTTTTCATTAGGAAAATAGGCCTATGCTTGGCACTGCTTCACTGTATTTCCCAGAAGTGCTTTAAAAATTTTTTTTGGCAAGATGCTCCAGTTGAACAGGCCTTAGGGACAAAGAGAAGAGACAGATGTCACCAGGGCCTAAGGCATCTTGGCTAAAGTTAGTTTGCGAGATTAACGGAGCACCTACAGTGTTCATAGCTCTGTAGGAGAAGAGAGGCAGATGGACAAATGAGAAAGACTGGCACACCCAAGGGGGCCCTGGCATGCCAGAAAGCATGTCCGTGCCCTGTTCCCATTCCTTGTGGGAATAAATCCAGCTTAGTCCCTTCCCATCAGAGCCTCCAGTTCACCCTCTAACCTCAAAGGACACCAATGTGATTGTTCCTTTTTAGAACACCCCTGATGAGCACTTCATTCTCGATCGCCACCCAAAGTATGACAACATTGTCATTGGTGCTGGATTCTCTGGTGAGCCAAAGCTGGGGGAGATGGGGTGCTTTAAAGAACCTACTTCAGTGCCAGGGAAAATGGTATTTTCCATACTCTTAGCTGCCCAGATAAGTACTGAAACCTGGACACTGAGTGGGTAAGGAGGCTGGACAGTCAGAAAAGGGGTACTCACGGTGGGAGGCAACTTCTGGCTTCTGGATATGATCCAGAGGAGAGTCAGTCCTCTCTGGGTGAGCAGGAGACTTCTGGAGGGCTCAGCCTGTCTCTGAGGATGCTTGACAATCTACTCTTTTTTCTTTTTTTTTTTTTTTTGCCCTAGGGCATGGATTCAAGCTGGCCCCTGTAGTGGGGAAGATCCTATATGAATTAAGCATGAAACTAACACCATCTTATGACTTGACACCTTTTCGAATCAGCCGCTTCCATGGCCTGGGCAAAGCTCACCTTTGACCCCTGGCCAGCAGCCTCCCCTCTGTGCAGAGAAGTCCCTGCTGGAGAAGACTTCTCAGTTGTAGGAAGTGGCTCTGAGATGTCATCCTTTTCTGCCTCTTTTGAATTCTCCATAATCACTGGACGGTTGAGTCGACCTTCATTCCCTGGCCAGCTTCCTAATCCCAACTACCCTCCTGCTTACAAAAGGTCAATCAGATATTCTATAATCACAGAGTCACAAGGACCTTTGAGATGGATGTTTCAATATGGAGGGGCACAAGGACTGGCTCAGGAGACCAAAGCAGTCGTTAAAATTCTTTTTGCTGGGATGTTTGATGAACTTGAAATGGATTTGACTAAATCTTCCCAGGAGAGGGTGAACAAGATGATCTCTTATAGATCACTATTGCCCTTGGAGTTTCTTTTTCTAAAACTAGAGCTACCTTCCAATTATGAATGCCCATAAAATTTCTGACTTGTCTTCGATGCACAATAAATATTTGTTGAAAGATTTGTTGAACAAACAAACAAATAAATAGCTGCATTGCATTTAAGTCCGTGGTGGGCTTTCTTTTCCATGTGACCTTATTTCTCACAGGCTCTAATTGTCTAAATTAGCACCACAGAATCCATTAACCCAGGAACGCTTGGAGTCTTTATCCCCTTATGGCACTGCACCCCCTTCCTCTGGATGTTTTGTCTCCTCCTCATCCTCTTTTTGCTTCTGTAAGGATCATCAGCTTCCAAGCTCTCATTAAGGTGTATTGTCAGGTCCTTATGAAGATGGAGCTGTTATACCAGAAAGAAAGAGAGAGACACACTCGCTCAGAAACCCTGTTCAATGTTTGAATGTTAAATGTGCCATTTTATTATCATTAGGATTGCTCCCACTTAATGAAACAGCATTAGCACCGCGTCGGCTGGCCTCCTTGCACTAATTGCTTTGGAAGGGAACAGGCTCATTACTACCCCAGGGTGGGTGGAGGGGTGAGGGCTGTAACAGGGACTCAAGCAGGTTCAACCCCAGAGGACAGGAGTTAAAATGCTCTGGGGAGAGAAAAAACCGAGGCTGGGTGGGGTGGATATGTTAGGAGGAGTCACTGAGCAGCGAATGAAGAGTGGGCAATGGGAATGAGAGTAAAAATATTCCCAAAGGAAATTCAGTGCAGAGGAAATTACTCTTCAACTGCCTGGGTCCTCAAGGGCCTAGGCACATGTATTAGCACTGATTTCTCCAGTGAGTTATAAAAGCCAGCAATCCTGTCATCTATATTGCAAGGCTGCTTTTGGGGTGATCTCAGATGGTTCCTCGAACTCACAGCCTCTGTAAAATGGAAATAACAATACTACAGATACAAATAACCTCTACAGGGCTGTGTGAGTTTTCAAATAAGGTCATTCACTTATTCATTGAATATAAAAATATTTATTGCACCTCTACTATGTGCCAGGCACTGTGCTAGGCCCTGTGGATGTATCAGTGAACAAAAAAGATAAAAAAAAAAAATCTCTGTTCTAAAACTGGATGGTTGTTCCTCAAAAAATTAAAAATAGAATCACCATATGATCCAGCAATTCCATTTCTGGGTATATACCCAAAAGACTTGAGAACAGGGTCTAGAAGAGATATTTATATACCCATGTTCAGAGCAGCATTATTCACAATAGCCAAACGGTGGAAGCACCAGAGGTGCCCATCAAGGAATGACAGATAAACAAAATGGGGTATGTACACACAATGGATTATTATTCGGCCTTAAAAAGGAAGGGAATTCTGACACATGCTACATGGATGATACCTGAGGACATTATGCTAAGTGAAATAAGACAGTCACAAGCGACAAACAGTATGATTCCTTGATATGAGGTATTTAGAGTTGCCCCACCTTGCTTTTTAGAGGACATGGCCTATGGGAAATGCAGAAATACCTTGGGGGGGGGCGGAGTCATAGGGCGAATGCTCCAAAGGCAAAGGACATGCAAATGAATATGAATATGCTAATTCATCTCGGTTTCCCAGAGAATGGCTGAGCCAGAGAAGGAACAGGGGAAATGAAACTGGACCCTGAGACTCAAATGGGTTGCCTGGACGAAAACCAACCCCAGCCAGACCAGGAGCAGGAGTCTAGTGGTTACCGGGCGCTAGGAAGAGGAGGAAATGGGCATTTGTTTATGGGTATAGAGTTTCAGTTTTGCAAGATGAAAGGAGCTCTGGAGATTGGTAGTAGAACAATGTGAATGCCACGGAGCTATACACTTAAAAATGGTTATGATGGTAAATTTTATGTTATATGTATGCTACCACAATTTTTTAAAAATCCTTGTTTTTATAGAGCATACAGTCCAGTGAAGAGAAGACATATGAGGAATACGTGCAAATAAATTCTATCATATATTAGAAGTGCTTTGGGGAAAGCGGAGCAGGGTGGTGAGGAGGTGACAGGGAGTGCTGCGGGAGGGCCTGCCATTTCAGATGGTGCTCAGGGCAGGACTCACTGAGGTGGGAAGAGTGAGCTGGGCAGATACCAAGGGGAGAGAAAAACGAGGTACAGATGGCAGAAAGTGTGAAAGGGGGCTAGGAATATCCCCTCACGCCCCACAGCTGCCCGAAGCTCCCTCTATCTTCTCTCAGTTCCCCCCTCCCCCTTCCAGCCAGCTGCTGCTCCCCTTCCAAAATATCCAGCTTTATTCAGCTTGTTAGTGACAGTGAAAGGAAGGCCAGTGTCTTGAGGAGGCTGAGAAAGGACAAATGGGGGATGCCACCAAGCCCTGCCTGAACTGGCTGAGGCCCTGTGCTCCCAGGAAAGAGCTGGAGAAGACAGGGGTGTGAGTGGGGAAGGAAGGCCGTGGGGGAGGGCAGGGCCAGTGAAGGGAGACAGACAGTGAAGGGAAAAGGCTGGCAAGGTGCAGACCAAGAAGGCAGATAGGACCTCCTGGGATGCTACACCTGCCCCCCTAAAGCCATAGGAAATGCGGTCAGAATGCCTGAGTGGGAGTAAGTGAGTGTTTGTTAGTTGGGATGGGGCGGGATCATAAAGGAGAAGGGGTCAGAGGACAACTGAGGATGTCAGTCATGTTGAGGGATTTGCCAGAGTAGATGTACTAGTATTATCTCACTGCTTCCTTCTGCCGGAGCATGGCCAGGCATCCCCTTTCAGACAGCCCCTACATATCTCCAAGATGGAAGAAAATCAAAATCAATCGGGCAGGCAGCAAGAGACCTCTGGAAGGGCAGCTGGGGTCTGCACAGGCTGCAGGGGAGAGATAAGGGCAATGAAGAGAAAGAGGCCGGCCTGGTTGCCAACCAGACTAAGGAAAGCGGAGGCAGGCTGAAAATAGACTGGGGGCGGGGAGGGAGGCGAGCCAGTCCAGAAAAGGAGGGAGAGGAGAGGCAATCGATGCTGTTTCGACTCTGACCCAATTTTTCATCTCTCAGCCTCACCAAAAAAATGAGAGGATGGTGGGAAGTAGAGAGAGATTGGTACAGAGAGGGAAGAGTCGAGGGGGAAAGGAATTTGAGTCCTAAGAGCTGGGCACTTGTGGGGTACACATCAGTAATCACAGTGGGGAGAAGGGGAGGTGTGTACTATTGTTAGTACCATTCAACTCTCTCCAGAGTTTGATATCTTAGAACAAATTAAGAGCTTGAAGAATGTGAGTAGAGCTTGGAAGGAGGGTCAATGATCCAGAAAGGTAAAAAGGTAGCAAGGGTCAGTCTGGAGCCAGGAGGGTAGCAAGGACTCTGTGCCTGCATTTAACCTCTCAGAGGAGTGATTCAAGAGAATATGGTTATGTCAGTGGTGGGTTTTCAGTGAAGCAAGAGGGATAAAGTCAGACTTCAGCAAACACACCCCATTAGGTAGATTTGGGAGATATTAAAACAGGCAGATGGTGTGGTGCCTGTAGCTCAGTGTGTAGGGCGCTGGCCACATACACCGAGGTTGGTGGGTTTGAACTCCCCTGGGCCAGCTAAAACAATGACAACTTCAACAACAACAACAACAAAATAGCCAGGCATTGTGGCGAGTGCCTGTAGTTCCAGCTACTTCGGAGGCTGAGGCAAGAGAATCGCTTAAGCCCAAGAGTTTGTGGTTGCTGTGAGCTGTGACCCCACTGCACTCTACCCAGAGTAACAGCTTGAGACACTGTCTTAAAAAAAAAAAAAAACAGAAAAAACCAACAGATAGATGAGTACTCCTATAGTATACTTGCCTTAGAAAACTTAAAAAATGAGAAGCCCATCTATATGGCCCTGTGGAGCGTTACCTGGAGGCCAAGGCTTCCCCACACAATCTAGGGAAGGCAGCTGGCTAGGGAAAGGGCCTAGGATTTTTATCACCCTGCAGGTGGGGTCCAACTTAGATATCTGGGCACAGTCCTAAGACAGCACTAATGTAAGCACTTGGTGGGGATATAGGGGAGGCACAAGGTGGGCTGGATCTGTCAGCCCTGGGAGAGGCAGCAGGGACAAGGGACAGGGCCCAGTGGCATTTACATAACTTTGAATAATGAATAAGCCCAGCTCTGGGGTTCCTAGTCCGTACTGCTCATCTGCATCTTTATTAAGCTTTATAAATGATTCAACTCCCTGCCCCTTCCCCCAGCCCCTGCCCAGCCTGCCCCAAGCATCAGAGTAGTTGACTGCTCATTATTTTAGAATAGATTTGTTTCACCAACACTCAGCGAGGCATGGAGTGGGGGTCATGAGAGGGAGGAATGCATCCAGAAGGCAAGTGGAATGGATGGGGACTGGAGAACAGAAAGGGTATGAGTGGGAAGGCAGGCTCACGACTGTGAGCAGAGGCATGGAGCTAGGGATATGGGCTTGATTCTCTAAAATGCTTCTGGGGCCAATATCTTAAGGAGAGAAAAGGTTCTTAGATTCCTCAAAATGTGCTGGGTTCAAGTCCCACTCAAATCCCCAGTTTTTCTTACATCTGCTGCCAAGCCCCCAGCAGGCCCGGCACTCAGCTCCAGTGTTCCGCTTAGCCACTTGAGCAGCCAAATGAGTACAGCCCCCGGGGAAGCTCTCACTTTTTCCTGAGGCAGGAATTTTGCTATTTTCATGAAGAAAAAAAAAAATCTGCTACGTTTGCAAGGCAAGAACAAGTACCAGGCATATGTGTATTAGGGCAGAAAGCAATAGGAACAGTCACACATGGGGTGGGAATTCGTAGGGAAAAGCAGCGCGGTGTCCACCTTCCAGGACAGGTGTGGAGAAAGTGGGCAGACTTCAACTGTCCAAGCAAGGGTGGTAGTGCCACTGCTCTGGGAGCTGCCAGGTCTACTGGGCAAAGACAGGGAGAAGTATTTAACAGCCAGAACGTGGGGGAACTGGCAGCAAACTGGAGGAGTGGGGGGAGGAGGTAGAGCATTTTTCAACCCTGGCTGCACATTAAAATCACCTGGGGAGCTTTAAAAACTATGATGCTTGGGCCCCACCCAAGATCAATTAAATCAGGATCCCTGAAGGAGAAGGCACCCTGGGCACAGTAATTTTAAAACAGTGCCTTCGTTTTGTTTGGATCCTAGTTTAA